AACATTTTTCACCTCATAATTTTAATAATTAATTGTGCTAAACTTCAAAATGATAGTGTGTCAAATGGATAAGTATCATTTTGGATGCAAATATGTTACAAATCTCTAACAGCCTAGTTAAATAAATTATTTTAATCATTTTTGTTAATATCTACTCTGCTTCTTTAACAGACTAGCTATGATGCCATCTTTTTTGCCGATTCTCCTCTCGGCTAAACTATATTTGAGAGCCATTGCAAGCTAGCTAAACATAAAATAATGTATTCTTCATCTTCTCTTTTTCCTTTCTAATTTTTCCTCTTTTTAGAAGTATAAATTAAAAAAAAAAATGGTTAGAAGTGATTAGCTAAAATAAGAAATATTAACAAATAATACACTTTTTATTATTAAAAAAAAATCATTGTTGTTATCTTATCAATTATTTTGATGAAAAAAATACTTGTCGTGATGTTTCCTCTCAAACGTAATAATTGTATTCACTGATGGATCTGGGGGCGGGGGGCTGGGGGTGGCTACATCTCAAAAAATTTGAAAAATAACATATATTATATTAGAAATTTTAAAATAATTTAAAACTATAAGAGTTCGCACCCTGAATTTTTTTTAAATAATTTGAAAATTATATAGAATACTCTCCCAATTTTTTAAACTATAAAGTAGCCTCAAAATTATAATCTTGGATCCGTTCTTGATTGTATTATACATATTATGATTAAATATATACTCTATACACATTTTAAAGAGTACATATCGTAAAAATTTTCTTAAAAAAAAATATCGCGGTTGAATTCACTTTATTGTTGACTTGTCTCATAATCAGAGTCTCATTCTCTTTTTCTTTCCTTTTTTTAATTTTTAAATTTTTTTTTTTATTCATGCAATGCTCTGTTTTTGGGTTTGAATAATCGGTAACATCATTTTCTTTCCCCGGCATGTTATAAAATCTTCTTTATAATGGGTGTTAGTTACATGTTATAAAATCTTCTTTATAATGGGTGTTAGTTACATGTAGACTTTTAAAATATAAAAAAAATAATGATTTGATTAATAATATATGACGATGGCTATTGAAAAGCGCGTAGAAGGGTTGACGAAGAAAAATGTCACATGTTTTTATTTATTTATTTATTATTTTGTCTTCTAATTCTTTCCAATTTTATTATTATTATTTTTATTTATATGGTTGTAAATGGGACCACGTGGGTCCAATGTAACAGTCACATAGTTTTATTATATTTTATAAATAAATAAATAATAATTATAATTTGAAAAACAAATTATTTTATTAAATAAATATAATAAAATTATATGATTATGATTATTAGATTAATTTAATTTTCTATTATATATCATACTCATGGTATAAAATGAACGATTCAAATTATTAGAGTGAGATTATAAATTTTTTTATTTTTATTATTTATTAGAGTGAGATTTATTATGAATCCACAAGCCCCACAAACACCCTCCAATCAAATAGGCACTACAAATATAAGACAATAAACTTAAAAATGGCACTACAGTATATATAAAGATTTTGAAGACTAAACTTTTTCATTCTTAAAAGTGAAATTTTTATTGTAAAAAATATTAAGAGATCAATTTCAGTTGTTATGCAAGTCGATCCCAAAAGTTAAAAAGAGGATCTTTAGCGATAAAATTTTAAAATGTCATTAATAAATACATTTTTAGAAACTAAAAATAAATTTGTGCCAGAAAGTTTTTTCGTAACAAAATATATATATATATATATATATTTTACAAAAATTTTGATCACAAAAGAATAGTGATTCATTACTAAATTTTTAATTTCATCACTAAAAATATAATAATAGTATTTTTTTAATTTAAATATTTTATCTGTAAAAAAGGATTACATCTATAAATTTATCTCTAACTTTTAGAATGTGGCATCATTGCAACTTGACAAAAGACCACTGAAATTAGAAGAAAATAATCATTTCACGACGTATTACACAAATCACACCAATTGTAATTAATTGAAAAATCAACATCCTATGACTTTGCACTTTATTATGATGGCAAATTACTGCAATGATCCTTATAGTTACTCATGATTTTATTTTGGTCTCTGTATTTTTAATTGCATCAATTTTGTTTTTATAGTTTGTTTTTGGCTCTATGTAGTCCAATAGTTAACCGCTGTTAACTTTTGGAATATTTACGTGTAGATCTTAATAAGTGGACTTATTGTCTAATAGGTCCTATAGGAAAAATTTGACATAAAAAAGTCACTAATTGTAAATTTTAGCGACAATTTATAAAAATTATGACAAAAGAAGTTACTAATTGTCAATCTTTAATGACATATATAAAAAATTGTAACAAAAAAATTATTTTTAGCGACAATTTTACCAAAGTTTATTTTCAATAGAAATTGATGAGAATTAAGTCTAACTATTAGGACTTACTGATAGCTTATCCTTAACTTTTTTGATGGAAACCCGCACATGCCTTGCAAGCACGAGATGAAAACCAGTCACTTTTTGGAGTGTACTTAATGAAAGAAAAAAAGTATACTTTTTATTTTTTTGTCACATTATCTCTCTATTTTTTTTTACATTTATTTAAATCATCACAAACAACCCTATATATATATATATATATATTTAGTGAATATTTTTTAAATTTTAAATAATTTATTTTTATTTTTTAGATACACCTTACTTAGATATATTTAAAAATTAAAATATTTGTAAAAAAATAATAAATACACAAATATGAAAAATATACTAAATTTTTATTTTTTAAAATATTTTTGGTTTTTAATTATTATTTTTTAAATATTAAATATTAATTTAATATAAATAAATATCAAAAATAAAATTTAAAAAAAATTAAAAATTATTTTCTTCCCAAAAAAAAAATCAGATGAAAATAATATATATTTTTATTTTTTTACCAAACTAATTTTTAAAATTTTAATACTTTTTCAAAACATAATTTCTAAAACTCAACCAAATAGAGGTGTGTAATGAAGTAACCTGTCTATTTGCTAAAATATAGTTTTTATTAGAATTTTAGTTAAAATATAATTTATTGAGTCAAAATTAACTTATAAAAATTTAATACTAAAAAAATTAATTAATTTGATACATTGTTAACTTTTTGACTTGTGCAATGTTTGATAATTTTTTAATTTTTATGTAAAATTACCATTCAATCATGCCTGCAATCATGCTCAGCTTAAGAGCTTCGGCTCGGCAGCTTCTAACTTGGAGGAAATATCTTCAAATAATAAGCCTTAGTTCAGGGAACCCAAAAAAATAAGGGATAGCCCAAGGGGTTGTAGCATTGTGGTAAGATTTTGGGGTTTAAGGCTCAATGTCACAAGTTCAATTCTCTTCTTGAGTCAATCTCTTGAGCGAAACACTGTTAGTTAGGAGGTTAGATCTCAAGTTGTCTAGTCAGCACTTGGTGTGGATTCAATGCTCTCCCGCTGTGCGAGTCCTGACTTAAGCGGAGTTTGTCTTGGGAGGTCGGGACAAGTTGCCTTGGACCTGCAGGAGGATAGGGAGGATTTTCCTGTAACAAAAAAATAAAAAAATAAAAAAAAATAAGGGAAAAGTTACATACAGTAATTGGTATATCAATTACTGTATTAACATATATTATGATATTGTTACTTTAAAATTATAAATCTCATCCATTATATGAATTACAAAGACTCAAAATTTTGAAAATTATATCATATCATTCGTTAGTACATTAATTGGTGTCCGAATTGGTGTGTATTATTTTATTCTTTCAAAAATTAATTATAAAATTATGAAAGTGTTCATAATTTTGCATAAAACTTCTAAAATTATGTCATACCATTCGTTAGTATATTAATTGATATATTAATTAGTGTGCATAATTTTATTCTTTCAAAAATTAATTATAAAATTATGAAGGTGTTTATAATTCTGCATATTAATGTTTATAATGAGTGCTATTGATCTAAAAATTGAAAAAATTACCAAACATTGCACGAGTCAAAAAGTTAACAATGTATCAACTAAATTAGTTTTTTTAGTATTAAATTTTTATAAGTTGATTTTCACTCAATAAATTATGTTTTAGCTAAAATTCCAATAAAAACTATAATTTAACAAATAGACAGGTTACTTCATTACACCTCTATTTGGTTGAAGTTTAGAAATTATGTTTTGAAAAATATTAAAAATTTAAAAATTAGTTTGGTAAAAGAATAAAAATATATATTATTTTCATCTGATTTTTTTTTTTTGGGGAAGGAAATAATTTTTAATTTTTTTTAAAATTTTATTTTTGATATTTATTTATATTAAATTAATTTTTAATATTTAAAAAAATAATCAAAAACCAAAAATATAAAATAATGAAAAATTATTATATTTTTCATATTTTGTGTATTTATTAATTTTTTAAAATATTTTTTTTACAAATATTTTATTTATTAGATACATCTAAGTAAGGTATATCTAAAAAAATAAAAAACATTATTTAAAATTTTAAAAATATCCACTAAAAATAAAGAATATATATATAAAAAATAAGGTTATTTGTGATGATTTAAATAAGTGTACAAAAACTGAGAGATAATGTGACCAAACTTTTTTTTTTGAAGTACGCTCCAAAAAGTGACTGGTTTTCATCCCGTGTGTTCAAGGCACGCGCAGGTTTCAGTCAAAAAAGTTAACGGCGGTTGACTATTAGACGGAGCCAAAAATCAAACTGTAGGGGCAAAATTATACAATTAGAAATACAAAGACTAAAATGAAATCGCGGGTAAACTATAAGAACCATTGCTATAATTTGCCCTTATTATTATTTATTTTCAACTAAAGCTGTTAGAAAAAAAAAATATGCTTTTAAAATTGGCATATTCAAAGTCCAGTCCAAAATTTCAAATTATTAGTGAGAACACATTGGTGCTTTTTTTCTCACGAAACCGTGGGAATGGCTAAGGTTGTCTACCCATAAAAGTACTATATATATGGAAAGGAATTGAAGAACAAACACACAACATCGTTGTATGAAATACGAAGTCACATCTTAAGAAAACTCTTGAACACATAGAGAGAGAGCTTCATATGATCTTTGTTTCTTTGTCTCTTCATATATTGTTCGATTAATTGGCATGGCACGTCTTGTGTTCTTGCTCGCATTTGCTTTAGCTCTTTTGGCTGCTTCACTCACATCTGCTGCTATTGTGGAGCATACTTTTCAAGTAATTTTTCATTTTTCCATTATTGTTCTTCGCAATCTTCATTTTTTTTTTAGCACTAAATGGTTGCATGATTTCTGGGTACATAAATAGCTTTATTAGGGCTGGCACCAGTCAGTAAACGTGGGGCAGGCCTTGATGTGTTTGTTCTGTGTATTTTTCTGTGTTGGTAGAGATTTTTTTTTTTTGGGTATAAATGGGTCTTTGTACACACTTTCACGAGTGGATTGTTAAGCTATTGGACCGAACAATTCAGCTTTAACAAATTCTGTAGACTAACTCTTGACAATGAATAGATTGTCATGAACTGACAGATTACAAAGCTGAAATGCTCGCTAACACCAATTGATTTTAGGAGATTGAAAAAAAAACAAAGAAAGAAAACGGAACGTTGTTTGAAAAGTTCTGCTTTTGCATTTTTCTTTCTGGTTAAAATTGCTTATTTTGCATTACTATTTTCCATTCTTAGGATTGGTTTGGGATGATCTAAATAAGTGCATTTTTTGACTTTTTATGAAATATAGGTTTGGGTATAAGTTGAGTCTGAAGTGATATGGTAGAGAGGTGATGTGACTTAAATAAGATGATGTGACTTAAATAAGATAGTGACTTTTTAACTTTTTTAGAGGATGACAAACAAGACCTTAATATATTTATTAGTATTTCTTTTTGCCGACATTCCGCTATCCTCTATTTTCAAAATCTCCTTTTGGAAGATTAGTTTCCCTTCACCTTCACCGACTTTACTAAAGAAAGTCAAAATTGCTTTTCATTTCCTTTTTTGAATATGTGCACATATTCTCAAACTTGAAAATTTACATTTTATAACCCAGTTTATTTCATTTATATTATTTCAGGTGCAAAATTTGAATATCCAGCGGTTGTGCCATCAACAAGTCATCACTGCTGTAAATGGAGTTTTTCCTGGCCCCACCATACTGGCAAACGAGGGTGATTCCCTCGTCGTTCATGTCGTCAATAAGTCCCCGTACAACCTTACCATTCATTGGTAATATTACTTTTTAAATTAAACTTATTTTTTTTTTAATTTTAAACTTAAATTAGACTAAGTTTTATAGTTAATTAAATATGACACCATTTACTTTAAGAAAAAAATATTTCAACCATTTATGACCACCCACTTTTTGTAGTCACGGCAACTTGAAAGTATTCTATATTTTCTCTTTATTTATTTATTTATTTTTAGAACTAATAAAATATATGTAAAGTGGCGTTTCTTGTTCTCTTGGTAATGCTTTAATCTTCGTTCTAAAATTGTCCACACACTACATAAAATACAATCCCATCGAGTGCAAGAGTTTGTGTAAAAAAAAAAAAAAAATAAAAATAAAAAAATTAAGGTTTTAGAAACCAAAATTTATGGATAAAATTATTTTTTAGGGCGAAAAATGTCATTATTATATTTTTAGTAACGAAAATTAGACATTAGTAATAAATTATTATCTTTTTGGGACCAAATTTTTTGTCTCAAAAAATAAACTATTTTGAGACCAAATTATTTTGCCCCTAAAAAAAAAAAAATTAAGGTTTTAGAAACTAAAATTTATGGATAAAATTATTTTTTAGGGCGAAAAATGTCATTATTATATTTTTAACAACGAAAATTAGACATTAGTAATAAATTATTATCTTTTTGGGACCAAATTTTTTGTCTCAAAAAATAAACTATTTTGAGACCAAATTATTTTGCCCCTAAAAGTCTATCTATTAGTGATATTTTTAAAATTTTGTCGCTAAAAATCTTGTTTTTGACTTTTCGAGACGATTTTTTAGCGACTATCCTAATGACGATAGAAATTAATCCTTAAATATTGTTTACAACAAAATTTTCACGTTTAGAGACCAAAATATTTGATTTCTAAAATTCTTATATGTTGTAGTGTGTTCTTATCAAGACTATAATTACTAGTCGGACTATCATTATGATTGCTTATAGTGGTGTTCTAATATTTATGCAGGCATGGGATTTTTCAATTATTGAGTGGTTGGGCAGATGGACCTGAATATGCAACTCAGTGTCCTATTCGTCCGGGAAATAACTTCACTTATAGATTTAACATCACCGGGCAAGAAGGGACCCTCTGGTGGCATGCACATTCCCAATGGATCCGTGCAACTGTTCATGGCGCGTTAATCATCCGTCCAAGAACTGGTCATTCATATCCATTCCCAACACCCTACCGAGAAATCCCAATTCTCTTTGGTACAAACTTTATTTATTTATTTATTTTGGTATGTTTGACTTTTAGAAGAGTAAAAATATATTTGCAATTTCTAGAAGATTATAAATTATATTTCATATAGATTGAAATTTGAAATAAGAAAAAGTAAGTTAAGGTATTTTAATCTTAACATGACGAGATTTTTCAAAATATAACAAATGTCATCTATTAAATTTTGATTGCAGGAGAGTGGTGGAATGCTAATATTATTGATGTCGAGAACCAAGCATTGGCAAGTGGTGGTGCACCTAATAGTTCCGATGCTTTCACTATCAATGGCCAGCCGGGTGATCTGTATTCATGCTCTTCAAATAGTAAGTCCTAACATGTCACCTTTTACCAATACATATTAAATTGCCAAGTTAGATTAACTAGTTGGTTAGCCTCCATTTTTAATTGTTATATCCCTCAATTTTATATGACATACTTTTTTTTTCTTCCTCTTATTAGACACATATAAGTTGCAAGTGGCACGAGGGAAAACTTATCTCCTACGTATCATCAATGCTGCAATGAATAATCAATTTTTTTTCAAGATAGCCAATCACAGCATGACAGTCGTTGCCATTGACGCCACTTACACTACTCCAATGGTTACCGACTTCATTGTTATTGCTCCAGGCCAAACCACTGACATATTGTTGAAAACCGACCAGCCACCAGCTTCTTATTATATGGCAGCGCATACCTATGTTAGTTCACAAGGTGTTCCTGACACTACCACCTCCACCACTGGGATCATTGTTTATGAAAATTCCACATCATCCACCCCACAAATGCCAATCCTACCAGCCTACAATGACACACAATCGGCTTATAAGTTCTCTACCAATTTGACTGCACTCGTAAATGCGCCTCATTGGGTCCCAGTCCCACTCAACGTTGATGAACACATGTTCGTGACAATAAGCTTGGGTTTAGTACCATGCGAAGTAAATAACACTTGTGCAGGTCCACTTTCGCAGCGTTTAGCTGCGAGCATGAACAATGCATCCTTTCAATTCCCCACCAACTTGTCTATGTTGCAAGCTTTCTTCAACAATGTTGATGGGATCTACACCACTGATTTCCCTGACCAACCACCATTGGTGTTTAACTACACTGACACAAACAACAACTTCAACACGACAATCATAATGACATCAAAGTCAACCAAAGCGAAGAAACTTAAGTTCAATTCAACTGTTGAGATTGTATTGCAAAACACAGCCTCCTTGGGTTTTGAGAACCATCCTATGCACTTGCATGGATTCAACTTTCATGTGTTGGCTCAAGGGTTTGGCAATTATGACCCAGTAAACGATCCCAAAAATTTCAATCTTGTTAATCCACAAGCACGTAACACCATCGGAGTGCCAACCGGCGGGTGGGCTGCCCTCAGATTTCAGGCGAACAATCCTGGTAAGTATTATGGTTAATTTAATTACTATGTGTGAATGTACATATATATAGATATTTATTGTGCATGTAAACTAATTTATGCTTGAAAATTTTGATGGATATAGGTGTATGGTTGATGCATTGTCACATGGATGTGCACTTGCCTTGGGGATTATCGATGGCTTTTGTGGTTGAGAACGGGCCAACATCGTCAACTAGCTTGCCTCCGCCTCCTGCAGATCTACCCCAATGTTAGGAATTGTTCTACATTATTGTTGGTTGCTAACATTTTTCCCCTATTGCTTTCATTTTGATTTTACTTTTATGTTTCTTTTCATTACAACAACCCTGTAATAATGGTGGAAAGAATTTGACCTTCAATTGTAATAAGGCCATTTTGGTATAATTTATAAGATGATTTTTGTGATTATAATTTTTATGCTATTAGCTTAAAATAATTTAAATAAATTATAAATATGTTTATGCAATTTTTGATAATTTGTGAAAAAAGTTGAAGATGTTTGGTCTATTGCAGTTTATTGTCCCCCAATTTTTTTAAACCAATAATTAACATAAAAGAGATTGCGCTCTTTTATCTATCTATCTATATATATATATATAAAGGTCAATTTGCAACAATATATATAAAGGTTTAAAATAAACTAAAAGAGCCACAAATGTAACTTTAGAAAATCTCTTCTTAAAAAAATTTAAAATGAAACAAGCTGAAAAAGTTAAATAAATTACAATCAAACATTATAAATTAACGAGAAGGCGGCTCAGAAAAGAGCAAACAAAAGAAAGTTACATTGATGTAACGCGTAAGAACGCATATGATATGGTCGTTTGTGTATTAAAATATTATATTTAAAATCAAGGAAGAAGTATTATTTTGTCAAATAATGGTTAAAATCATGTGTTGATCTTTAGGGATTAATTGAGTTATTTTAATATAAAATAATAATTAAGTAATTTAAAAACAATAGATTTTAAAAATATTAAATCTAAAATTAATAAAACATAAAATAAAAAAAAGAAATATCTCAGGGTTTTGAATCTACCAATAACCTTGTAATCAGGGATTATTGTATTAGTTTTTAAAAAATCATTAATTTGGATAAAATGATGTAAATTGATCAAAAATACATCGTCAAGAGAATTTATATATTAAAACCAGAAAATTACGAATTATTTTCGCTTAGTACGAACCATCACCACTAAACTAAACTAATTGTGATTGATGCACTACTCATCATACTAAGTATGATTCGTCTAACAATTTTAATACATAGTAATAAAAATAATTGTATAACATGATTTAAATAAAATATTTATTGCACAAAAATATCTGAATGTTTTACAATTTATACCAATCAAATCAAAATTGAAAATATTATATACAATAAACAATAATTACTTAGTCAGGATTTCATCTTAACCCTAAGAAATAAAAATTAATTCCACATATTAATATTACAACTACTATAAAATATAAACACCCTGAACTTTCCAATTCTCCCTTTCTTTCCGTTCTCTCTTTCTTCCCTTGACTCCCTTTAACCGAAGCCTCTGCCTCCTCTCCCCCTTCTTTGAGCTCTCTCCTAATTTATAGGCAGGAATGCATGACAATTCATCATCAAAATGGATGCAACTTTTTGAATTTCTTTCTCGAATCAATGTTCGTCGGTCCCCTTGATTGACTGTCTTTTCCACCAAATTATCATCATCATGTGCCAATTCGTGGATGCCAACCTACCAAATCAATCAAATGAAGAAAAATATAAGGAAAAAAAGATAAGGACAAAAAAATGGAGGGGTGGTTTTTGGAGTTTTTTTTTTTTAAATATTCTAAAAAAAATAATTTAGAGAATTAATAAGCTTTTCAAACTATTTGAGAAACTAATTTTCTTTTTAAAATTGTATTTTCAAAATATGATTTGAAAAATTAAGTTAATTTCCCAAATAATTTGAAAAGTGGGTTAATTCTATATTTTTTTTTAGAACATTAAAAAAAAAAAAACTCGTGGTTCTTGTCTGCCACTGTTATTTTTTTATTCTTATTATTTTTGTTTATTATTTATTAAAACTTTTAATAATAATTTATATATAAATACATAAAATATGTACAAACACATAAAATCATATACATTTATAAAATAATACAAATAAATAGACTAATAAAGTTGTTACCCAAAAGACAACCTAAGAGGGGAGTGAATTAGGTTTTTACAATTAAAATTAATAATAACTTAATAAAAATTATGACTAGAACAATAGATAAATATAATTAATGAAATAAAAATAATTAAAACAAGTGTCTTAACAACTATGTCAGTTAATGATTTTAGCACAGTAAAAATGTGAAATATAGCTATGCCAATTTGAAATAAAATAAAGAGATAAGGGAGAGAGAGGCAAACAAATTTATAGTGGTTCGGCTTCAACTTGGCCTACGTCCACTCCTCAAGCTTCACTTGAGATTTTCCACTATCTTCTAGCTTCACAAGGGTGCTAGCAACCTCTTTACAAATGGAGCAATCCTCCACAGATTTTATACAGACTTCACAAGTCCAAACCCTTGCAAATCTTAAGTAATTCACAATCACGCTCAAGATTTCAAGAACACAGTGTTTGCAACACTTTTACAAGATGAAATGGTATTTTTGCTTTTCAAGAAAGCTTACAATAAATATCTCTCAAAGATAGATATATAAAATGAAACTTTGATTTTTCTGTAAATCTCACACAGGAAAGATGAGCTTAATGCTATAAGGCTTAGTGTATAATTTCTGAGAATACATGTGAGTGATTATAGATCAAAGAATATTTTCAGGTTTTTTGTCACTTGTTTACATTAAAAGTTTTGGTATATATAATGAAAATTATAACCGTTTATAACCGTTGTAGTCATTTGAATTTATAACCGTTTATAGCCGTTGTAGTCATTTGAATTTATAGCTGCTTATAGCCATTGTACTTCCATCATTACCAATTTGAATATCTTCCACTCCATCATTACAAATTTGAATATCTTTCACTTGAACCTTTTGAACCTTTATAGGCGTTTATAGCTGTTGTACTTCCATCATTACTAATTTGAATATATTCCACTTGAACCTTTTGAACCTTTTGGCCTGCTGCTGTGCTAGGCTGTTTGAACCTTTGTTTTGGGCCGTTTGAACTCCTGATTTAATCAAATATTAAATATATTCCAACAACATTTAGGATAAAGGTTTATGTGAGAAATAATGGGACAAAATAAATTTTGATTCTATTTTTTTCTTTCAAATAAATCATTCAAATAAACCATTAAAATAAATTTTGATTAAAATATAAAAATAAATTTTGGATTCTATTTTTTTTTCAAATAAATTAAAACATAATTAAATAAATCATCAAAATAAATAAGTCTAACAAAAGTATATATTAACGGATTAAATGCATAACATTTAGGCACCGATCACACTCTCAATTTTACACTTTGCTAGTCCTCGAGCAAAGCAAATTAAAAAGAAAATAAAATAAAAACTATCTATGCTATTTTCGTAAGGAATACGATTGTATTTAGCATATGCAATTAGTCTTTGATCCCCTAAGTTACCCTTAGTAGACAAGTTGTAGTCTCGTGAGGGTTTGCAGAGAATTTACCCACAAAATTCATTTATTTATTTATTTTTTAAGAAAAACATTCACAAAGATAATTGTTAATTTTTTTTTTCAAAATATTAGCAAAAGGATTATCAAAGTTCAAAGACTAACAATTGGAAAAAATAATTTATCTATCTCTATATTCGATGTGAAAAAAAAAAACCTAGAAATTCCCTAGATATTGATTTATGATTATGTATCAATTTTAAGTAATAAATAACAATCCCAATCAAACAATCAAGACAAATCGACACAACGATTTAACGTGGAAAAACTACAATTGAAGCTCCTCTAATTGTGATAAAAAAACTGCAGGCAAAAGCCACAAAACAATCTACTAAAAAGATATAAAGGAATTACACAAGTGTTCTCTCAATTACTTAGCGAATCCACACCCGAATTGAACCGACCCCAATGTGCCTCTTCCAACCTTGTCTTCACCTCGGAATTGTCTTGCCCAACCTTGAATTCACAACGCCGATGTCGAATCACGACGATAAGCCACTCTAGAATCCACTAAAACTTTAGGCTCGAATTCTCCAGAATCTACCGAAGAACAACTCTCTCTTTTGTGTTGAATAAGCAAACAATCCTTTGATGTATCCTTCTTAAACCATGAGTTGAATACTCAATTAAACATCAAAGAAAACTAGAAAAGAAACTCCAGATATAAACCCTAGAACCCTCAAAAAAGATCTGGAAGTCGTTATCCTAGATTTGGAGCAACTTGAGCTTTTATAGAATTTGAAATCGCGTTGTCCGCTCGAGAGGGGACTTTATATCGCGTGTTCCAAACCAGGATGTACGCTCGAGCAGGGAAATGGACGCTCGAGCTTAAAAACACGTCTCACAGCATATTTGCAGACAGGTTAAACTTCTGGAACCAAGCATTCTCCGCTCGAGCGGGGAAATAGACGCTCAAGCGGACAGGCAACTTTGAATACATTTTTGCATTTTGCTTCGAAGGCGCTGCCCCTCAACCCCGCAGTGGCGCTGCCCTGGACCCGCCAAGGGGCGCTGCCCTTTGGACCCCTGCGAGCTGACCAGGCAGCTCGATCCCCATCACAGTCAGCGAAGTGGCAAACATGAAAGAATTAAACACCACAAACTTCTCTGCAAGGCACGATTTGGGTTGGATTCGCATCTAAAAACTCATAGACTCACTGAAATAAAAGTGCGAATAAAATTACAACTCAAAGGAGTTTTGTCAAACAGGATTGTCAAGAATAAAAACCTAACACGGTGTGTGTGTATAAATTATAGCCGACAAAATGGAATAAGATTCTAATTCTATCAGAAGCATGCTTTGACTCAAATCTCTCCAATTTACTCACAACAAATAAAATACTCGGAAATGGCTCAGCTTGCCAGTGTATGTATGTGAGAGAGACTTATGTTTAACAAAACAAAAAAATTTCACATTTAAAAATGAAAAACGTTGTATGAAAAAATAATATACAATCTCATGATAGGAAAATCGAAAACAATAAAATTATGTTAATTTGTCACCTAAAAAACCATGCTAATTCTGAGATCAAATAGGACTTTATACTTTTTTTTTGGTTGTAATGTTGGGTTGAAGGGAATTATTTATAAAATTGGGTGAAGGGTAGAAAACAGGTGTCCAAGAAATGAATTAAGCGTAATCAGCATATATGAAACGCCACTTTACTAATCCTCCATTTTAACTCCATTTTTTTTTACATGTGATTCACAACCATCTTAAATATTTTCCATATTATTAATTTTTTTCCTTCTCTCTCTCTCTCTCTCTCTCTCTCTCTCTCTCTC